ATAATAGTCATTTTTCAATTTTTCAAAGGGTTGAAAAGAAAAATCATTATCATTATTAATTTATAATAAATAATTAACTTGAAAAATTTTAAATCTATAACCAATATCTAATTTAAATATTATTAACTAGTTGAGCATTTATAAAAATTCTTTAGGCTTACCACCAGTACCACCAGCTTGGTCATAAACTAACCCTGCAACCTTATAAGCTAATTCATCACATTCTTCTCTGCTAGCTGCTTCAGCATATACACGTACAACGTCTTCTGTTCCTGATGGCCTATAATTTAAATATATATTAACTATATGTTTATATTTAAAATTATATTAAGATAACATAACTTTAGAAAGAAAATCATCAAGCTTACCTAACAAAAGATCTACCGTTTTTATATTTGGATACTAATTCATCGATTTGTGCTTGAAGACCTGCTGGTTCTACAAGTTGCCGTTCAGCATCAATAGTTTTAAATATATGACGATTTTCAACCTAAAAAAAAAAAAACAGATAAATAAAGAATTTAAAATTAATTAATCATTAATCATCAATAAGAATAAAAGAAATTTAATCGTACTTACAACAACTTTTACTAAACGATTTGGTAAGTCGGTATAAGCTTGATCCCATTGCTTTAATGTCCATTGACGATTAGTCAAGATAGCGTCTACAAGTAATAAATCTGATAAGGCATCACCGACTGTTTGATTAATTAATTCGGTTAACGCGCGTAATTTTTCGATTGCATTTTCCTGCTCTGCTGTTTGTCTTAAAAATATAAATTCATATCGTCAATGAATTATTATAGCATTATAAGAATGATAATAATAAATTTTTTTTTAAAAAAAAAAGAGAGAGAGAGATACAAATACCCTTTAGAAGATCGAATCGTTTTTAAAGCTTTTGGACTAAATAAAACAGTTCCATGTCCATTAGCTTCAAAGTATACACCAACATCATATTTTTCTGCCTCATGATGAAGATGTTTGACACCTGTCGATACACAAGATACCGGTACTTTCTAGTTATCAAATTAAATTTACAATTAAGATAATTAAAATCAAAAGTATGCTAAATAAGCATAAAGAATATACTAAAGAAAACTTGCCAAAACATTTTTCAAATACATTGTGGAACTTCCATTTGCATAGGCAGTTTGAACAACTCCAACATTAATTCCTTCAAGACCCGCAGTCTTGACTAGGTCAATGATAAAACCACCGGCTAATCCAGCAATCTTATCACCATCCAATAATCTAAATGTACCATCTTTTAAGATCATTACATTCAAAAAGGAAAAAAAAAAATATAAAATAAAGGTTAGAACTAAGAGATTAAAGAAGTAACACGCTTGATATAATATATCACCTTCATCAATGTAATAAAATACGATACGGTCGGCATCGCCATCAAGTGAAGCTGCACGATCCCCATGTTTAATACTACATCCAGCAGGGAGCCCTTGCTCCGTTTTGACAAAGTCAGCACCACACTTTAGAAAGGGTTGCAATTAAAAAGGGTTAATAGGTTGTTCACATTAATAAGAAATCATAAATTTGATATAAGATACCTTATAATTTAATTTGCCTCGAGTTGTAACATCATCATTAATCAACATGATTTCTATAATGTCACTTCCAATATGCTGGGCGAGTTTTTCGATTTTTGGAGCTCCAACACCATTTGCTGCGTCAACATAAAATGGCGCAAGGCGTGGCCTGCCAACCTAATCAATGACATTCTACGTTATTTATATACTTAAATCTTTGGAATTTCTTTTTTGAAACTTACCACAATCTTACGGAAAGCGGTTGCAAGTTTCTTGTAATAACCATCTTCCGATGGTACACCATAATCATCTTCAGTACCTTGAGTGTTATAACAACGAGTAACATAGTGAAGTTGTGGAGTGGTTGACACATCAAAATCGATAACATTAGCGTTAAGAACTTTAAGTCCATCAACGAGTGCATCAACCAAAGCAGGCCCGCTTGGTCTGGTATCTCTAGCATAAACAACAGTAGCAGGCTTCGATTCATCAATGTCATTTTGTGAAATGATTTGTTTAATGATGACAACTAAATCATCGACAGATTGGGCATTTGCCAATCGAGTTGCGTAACCTTCCCATGATTGTTCCAACATTTCGCCATAAGGATCAACAAGCTTAACACCATTATCTTGTTCAGGATTATGTGAAGCGGTAATCATGACACCGATCGTTTTGGAATCAAGCTTTTTTGAACGTAAAACTGCCAAGATACCGACTCTGAAAATCACAGAATCCAACAAATCTGCTCTAAATGTCAAGGTAATCAAGAAAAAAAAAGGAATGAAATCAATTAGACCTTTTCATTGATACAGGAGATTCATAAAACATATTTTCCAAATTCTTTTTTTTATCTACATAAATCACATAATGCTACGCTTTGGATCCGTGAAAACTACGTAGAGTTCCATCGTATATCCGTAAAATTACGTAAAATCTCCCAGAATTACTGAAACTACTCATACTTCATACGGAAACCAGCGGTTCCATAGGTATAATTGAGATTTTGAGGTTTTGGATGATGAGCAGCAGCTTCTTTAATTTGATCGTAATTGATGGAATCCGACATTTTAATTTTCAAAAAAAAAATTTGTTTTATTTTTTTTATAATTTGGTTTAATCAATGTTTTTTATTTTTAATCGTGCAATCGCTTCTATTTATATTAAATCTTCAATTTCCGTTATTGGTTGAGACATGCACTTCTGTATTTCACCCTGCTTTTTAATATAATTTCGCATATTTGTTGAATCAAGATCGGCCAATCAGTCGCGCTCCAAACAAAAAAAAAAAAAAAAAAAAAAAAAAAAAAAAAGAAAAAATTACCAAAACCCGGAA